TAGGAAACAAATAGGGCCCCTTAATTAATCGAATGGCCCTTCGACTTTCCTTCAATTCCAATGGCCGGACATAGAATTCTTACCAGCAAAACGAGCTTGTCGTGCCCAAATTATGTTATTCATCATTGACATTAAACTTACTTCCTTGTTGTTCACGACAAAAACTAATCAAACCTAATCTACTAGTTCATGTTCAATTCATTTCATCTTAGCATGTTTCGACGAAAACTGTCAGCCCCAAATTATTTGAAAACAAAAGTACAGAATTATGGCATCTTGGGGATGTGATGTGTTAAGCATACCTCATAATGTTCGTCTGTAACGCCATATTTGAAGTGGGTGGAACCTAATCTTTTCTATGTGGAGTCTCTCACCACAACTTTGCCTGCTTTCGGAAGTTGCACTGCTGATTCACAGGTCTACAGAACAGAAAACCAATTAGTATATGGAAAGCATGTCCTAGGCTATATCTAAAAGTGAACCCTGTTAAGTGCAGAAAAGCTAAAAGTTTTTAAGAGGATCCCAAAAAGGGAAAAACCCATCTATACTTTCATTAAGAGCATTTGATAAAGGAAATCTTATTTTCTAACCACACAAAGATGTAAGTGTAAATCATAAAATCGTTATGGAATTCTCATGTATGTGGTTATGATCGTGGTAATGTATTTGTAATGGGAAATATTTTCTAAAACCTAATCCAATAGCTTTTTGATGGAACTTTTCTGGNACGAATTTGAAATGAAACTATTTGATCAAGACTACATTGGATCCCTTACCACAAACTAAAAGCTTGACACCTCTGGTAACTACAGTCGTTGTCGTTAGGCCTTCATTAAACTAAGATATCTTTAAGACTTGATCTGACTACGTATTCATGCTATTAAAAGACTTCTCAATGACAAAATTTTCCATATTCTTGACATTGGTCAATACTATATATATATATGATACTATTACGTAGTCAAGCCTTAGCCTCCCTAACACCTTTCTTTTTGCCATGGCAGTCTTGCAATTTCATTGCCAGTCCTTTCCTCTCCTATATATCCCAACCTATTCTAACTATCCCACAACACCAAATCCTAATCAAAATCTCTCTCTCTCTCTCTCTCTTAATGGGTATATGTACTTCTTCTCACATTGAAAGGGGAGGTGGAGGAATGAATTGGCCATCCACAGCCAAGGTGATTCAAAAGGATGGGAGGCTCCAAGAATTCAGGCAGCCCATTAAAGCTGGACACATCCTCTTCCACAATCCAAATTGCTTCCTTTGCAGCTTGGAGACCATGTACGTCAGCTCACGTGCGCCTCACGTGCCCGACGATGAGGAACTCCAGCTTGGCCAAATCTATTTCCTCATGCCAACATCAAAATCCCACACACCACTTTCATTGCAAGACTTGTGCACACTAGCCATCAAGGCTAGCACTGCACTTGGTGGCTCAAACATGGGAAGTACAACCTCAAAGGCATCACCGTGCACCGATATGAACGGTGTTCAACCTCTGTCTGGACCGCAAGGGTATTATAGAATTCCAACGGACTTTGAAGGCATTGGAATGAATTCTCCGGTAGCGCGTGGCAACCGGAGAATTGAGTTCTATGACTAGCAGAGTTGAAAAGGACAACCATTAACAGTGGGGTGACCTAAGGCAACATTACTTTATAGTTCTTTTTTTGTGTACTTTGAACGCACATTGGAGAGTTCTTAAGGCAATAAGAAATTATCCTTTGAACTTTTTGTACAATTGAATGCAGATTTCTATGTTTTATACTGGCAGTACGAGGGTGGGTCTTGACACAACAGTAAGATTATTTTATTGTGATTTTGAAGTCACAGATTTAAGTCGCGAAAACAATCTCTCCGCTTCCAAGTATAAGGCTGCGTACATCTAACTCTCTTCATATCCCGCAATGACGAAAGCCTCGTACATTAGTTACGCACAAATATGAGGAGTCACAAAGAATTCCCAATGAAATGATCAAAATACAGAAAGAATAAGTGTTATTGTATAGCGATAGGGTTATAAACAATTGCGACGAAATTACAATAGTAATTTCTCACCAAACATGCTAAAACGTATTGGGTGGGGTGTCCAGTGCTATCAAACTTCGCATAATTAGTGCAATTGCTTTTTGCTCAGCTTTTTAGTTATAGGGGTTCATATTTTAGTATTGCTTTCATAGCAACCCTTGCAGACTAATTCTGATTCTCTTTCTCAATCTTGTTCATGTATTGAAATTTAGGAAGCCAAGTCCTTTTTTTGTAGGGTAACTAGAATTGGATCATGTTATGAACAAAAGCCACAAGCAAATAATAACGGAACAAAATAGAAAAATAAATAACACAACTTATGTCTACAAACCAACCGCAGCGGCAAAATTTCACTATCAACAAAGGGAGATTACTCAAAATTCTCTAATCGAGAGAATAAATTCAAACATGAATACCCAAATCTGGGGGCCAAAATTCACTTAGAAAAACCAAGTGGTTTTTAATATATTTATAAACTCAAAGAACTTGTTTGGTAGACGTATTACGAGGGAATTAAATATTTAATTGTACTAATTTTTATTTAATCGGGCCTAATACTTTGATTGGTAAATAAATTTGATACCGTATTAATTTCAAAAATATATATTAATTGTATATTTATTATACAATAGACCTGTATTGTAGAGGTTTTTTAATATCATTAAGAGATGTGGTATTATAATCCAACTTAAACGTAAAAATAAAAAAATATGTAAAAAAAATAATCCAACTCAAACGTATTATTGTATATAGTTACTATTATAACTCCCCAAGTGATAAAATCAAGGTGTCATCAATGTAACAAATACTAATTGAAGATATTTTGGTTAATTCAACATTAATACTACGAAATAATTCTCTAACCAAACAATCGATTGGATTANCTCGGATAAATGCAAACCCTTCTTTGGAGCAATCAAGAGTGCTGGGAAGAATATGTAGAGCCAGGGATGCGAGGACGCCCTGGCTGGAATCAAGGATTACCTAAGGACTCTTCCAACCTTGTCCGTCCCTATCTAGGGGGAGATGCTGTTCTTGTATCTGGCAGTATCTGAGTTTGCGGTAAGCGGGGTACTTATCCGTGAGCATGAGCACTGCCAGAAACCAATTTACTATATAAGCAANGAATCGGTGTCTTGCTGACCTCTCCAGATGGGATTATTGCGGAGCAGGCCATCCGGCTGGGATTCAAGGCATCGAATAACGAAGCTGAATAAGAGGCACTCATCTCAGAACTTCAGTTAGCTGAGGCAACAGGAGTTACCAATTTGATCGTGCATTGCGATTCTATGCTGGTGGTCAATCAAGTCAATGGAGAATTTGAAACGAGGGACCCCAGGATGAAGGCGTACCATCACCAGGCAACGACCTTAATCCAAAGGTTCGCCCGGTTTGAAATCAAGCAGGTGTCCCGCGACAAAAACACACATGCCGACGCCCTGGCTTGTCTAGCCTCGGCGGTGGACTCCTCCCAGTCGCGCAGGATCACCATTGAGTATCTTCCTACAGCCTGCATAGACCATACTCTCGAGGCGATAGTCATCCAGGACGCGCCCAAGCCGCTCAGTTGGATTGATCCCTTTGTCAAGTTCCTAACAATGGGAGATCTCCCTTTGTCAAGTTCCTAACAACGGGAGATCTCCCGGAGTGTCCAAAGGAAGCTAGAAAGATAAGACTCAAAGCTCCAAGATTTTGGGTCTCTTCGGATCAGAAGCTTTACCGGAGGTCTTTCTCAGGGCCTTACTTGCTATGCGTCCGAGAAGATCAGGTGCAAGACCTCCTGTATGAGGTACATGAAGGAATATGTGGGGGGCACTCTGGGGGGCGATCAATGGCGCACCGCATTATGTCTCAGGGGTATTGGTGGCCGCGAATGCAAAGGGATGCGCAGGCATATGTCCAAAAATGCGACCAGTGCCAGAGGTTCTCCCCTGCGATCAGGCAACCTGCGGGGGACTTACACCCCCTCACCAGCCCTTGGCCATTCGCCCAATGGGGGCTCGATTTGGTTGGACCTCTGCCTAAAGCTCCGGGAAATAAAAAGTTCCTCATCGTGGCCACAGATTACTTCACCAAGTGGGTGGAGGCGGAGCCATTGAGTCACATCCGAGACATAGACGCCAAAAAGTTCGTCTGGGAGAACATAGTCGTCAGATTTGGGATTCCTCGTGCACTGGTATCGGATAACGGGACCCAGTTCACTGGCGGGCGCTTCAAGTCTTTCTGTGAGCATCTCGGGATCCGTAACTTCTACTCCACCCCTGCATACCCTCAAGCCAATGGGCAGGCGGAGGCCACCAACAAGACAATTATCAATGGAATCAAGAAGAGGTTGGAGAAAGCCAAGGGAAAGTGGGCGACAGAGCTGTTAAACATTTTATGGGTGTACAGGACAACCCCTCGGTCATCGACGGGCGAAACCCCCTACTCCCTGGCATACGGGATGGAGGCAATCATACCCCTCGAAGTAGGGCTTCCGACCATAAGGACCCAAGCTTTCGATGAAGGGGGAAATGATCATCAACTGGGATTGGATCTGGACCTACTGGAAGAAAGAAGGGAGGAAACCGCCTTGAAGATAACCAAGTATCAAGAGAAGATCTCCCAGCTATACAACAGGAGGGTCAAGACTCGAGAATTCCGGATAGGCGACCTGGTCCTCAGAAGGGTAACGGCCAATACCCGGGATCCAACAGAGGGAAAGATGGGACCTAACTGGGAAGGGTCTTACAAAGTGATATCAATCGGGGGCGCTGGGTCGTATGGACTAGAAGATATGAGTGGAAGACCTGTAATACGACCATGGAATGTTATGAATTTGAAGAAGTATTACTTTTAAAGTACTCNCTGGGAAGGGTCTTACAAAGTGATATCAATCGGGGGCGCTGGGTCGTATGGATTAGAAGATATGAGTGGAAAACTTGTAATACGACCATGGAATGTTATGAATTTAAAGAAGTATTACTTTTGAAGTACTCTCTCCCTCAAGAGCTTGTCAAACGAAGATAAAGGGTAAGGCCCTGGGGACAGAGTTCAAGGACTCTCGTCCCCAAAGCACATACAGGAGCAAGCCTCCTGCAAGGGTATAGCCCTGGGGACAGAGTTCAAG